TCTCTCTCTCTCTCTCTAACACACATACACACACACACACACACACACACACACGGACACACACGGACGCACACAAACACACACACACAATCAGTTTTAGGTATGTTCATTTTTCCTCCTCTCCTATTTTTTCAAAGTACTTTTTGTGTCTCTAGCGGAGCACCCTCTAACAGTGCCAAACAGTCAGGGGGTCCTCGTTTGGAGTGCCTACTGCACTCTAGCAGTGCCAAACAGCCGGAAAAAGGAAACCGAGGAGAATGTGGCGCGTCGGAATCCCATGCACCATAACGCACACAGTTCGTGACAAACTGTAGACCATGTCCTCCTGGACATCCGTTACAAATGGAATCATGGAATGATACAGAGATGAAGAGCATAGCCCCTACGCAAGGATGAGACAAATAAATTGACAAATTGTCCAAGAAAAAATAAAAATAAAAAAATGTAGACCGCTGACATTTCATAAGGAACTATACAGCTACGCGACCGTTTCAAGAGAATAATTATTAAGCTGTTAAATTGAAATCACACTGGACTTCCACTTCACTACCAGCATGCATACATAGAGATGTCCATGGCAGAAGAACTTTCACAAACTTAGAATCAGCAATGAGCATGAGATGGCACACAACGCCCACRCAGAATACTCAGATATGTGGCCCAGGCCAGGAACTCTGAGTCAGTAAAAGTCAACAACTGTTGCAACTTGCGCCCATGGCCGCTGAACACTGTCTGAAGTCCCAACTGAACACTGTCTCCACCATCGGTCTCACCCTCTCTCACGCACACATGCACGAAGATCTACCCTGCATGTCCACCCGTCACACCCGCACTCTACTCTCCACACTCTGTTGACGTCAGCAGCTTTGCGCTATGGCCACCGTTGTCTTCTTCCTGTTAGCTATGGCCGCCTTTGTCCTCCTCAGCCCACTTCAGCTTCCGGCACCCGCAGACCTCCAGTGCACAAGTCGCTGCAAGTCGCTTCAGCAGTGCTTCCGCATGGCTCACAGGCAAATGAATGAATGGCTGAGCGCTGCCTCTTTATTTTTACTGTTTCGTTGGTGGTCTGGCCTTCCACCGGTCCCAGGCCCAAGCGTGTGCAGCCCCGCCTGGTACTTGCTGACTAGACTAGGTAGGAATGGGACTCTAGACTGCTGACTGGACTAGGTAGGACTTACTGACTGACCCCTACAGTCCTGAAGAGTCRACCAACAGCTTCTAGAAACTCCTAGCTGGCTAAACTGACCCTTTGCTAGGCCTTAGGGCTACTTCCCACTTGCTGACTCAGCAACGGTCAACTGTCTTCTGGAAGGGCCTAGACTAGACTGAGCGGTAAGACACAGGAGACCTCGCGACTAACTAACATCCCGACTAGCTAACCTAAGGGATTTAGGAAGCGGTCGTGGGTTCAAATCTCACACAGCGTTACAGGGTCAATGTACAGGGCTACGGGGTAGGTCAAGGGATCGGGTCCAAATGTCTGCATCTGTCGGGTAAATTGGGTGAACCGTTTCACTTTGCAGCTATCTGCTACGAATCAAACGCGTATTCCTTTCAAGAAAAAAAAAAAAAGAAAAAAAAAAGAAAAGCAATACTGTAATTCAACCAGCTCTATCCTGTTAGGTAACAGAAGACAAGTATGGGGATAATTGGTGGAAAGCCCCAACGCCGAAACCTTTTCRGTTTTGGGCGCCCAAAATCCAGCCGTTTGGTACTGCCGAAAAACACTGCCACATTCATCGCCATTAAATGCCAACTACGAGAGGGTATTTGGTCTGAGGCATGACTGCTGACACGTCGTCCGTATAGAAAACAAGGTCCCGGGATGGCATATCTGTTTCGAACCTCGTCCAAAAGGGCTTATCTGTATACGAAAAGGTGTGTATGTTATAAAGATGAATTTTCTGCGGATCCCTGCACTACCTGCAAGACAAGGGTGCAACAGCAGCCAACATTAAATCACTGTAAAGCAGAGAGCACACAAACCTACCCAGAAGCGATAGGCAAAGGGAAGCAACAATCAAGGAGCGAAGAAAATGAAGAGCCGGCGTTCGAGTAACTCAAAGAAGACAGACCGAGCGAGATATTGAGCAAGCTCTGAGATGAACATATGGAGAGAGAGAGAGAGAGGGCGCATGAAAACAAGGAAGAGCTGGCGTTGTAGTTCACCCAAGAAGCGAGAACGAGCGAGATGCACACATTGAGAGAGAGAGAGAGAGAGAGAGAGAGAGAGAGAGAGAGAGCATGAAAACACAAGCGCTTGAAGCAAATTTGATAAGCTATTTTTATCTGTTCCAGAGGGACATGGTCTTCAATTTTTTAGACACCAACATCATTGAGTCGACGCGAAACACCACCGTCGTCTACACTGCTGAAGATCAGCCAGCACTTCAGCTGTGCTCAAGTCCCTACAACTCTACCAGCGAACAGATAAGGATCTATCATCTATGCTATTCAATGAACTATAAAGATGCTTGTGTGGCCGTACCTAACTCAGGTAATCACTCCACACTCAGATTTACGCTTTTCCTAGAGCCCACATCTCCTGGCGGCAGAGAAAATGTTCCCTGCAGCACGCACCAGAGGTTAAACTTTCTTAACCAGTGGCGAGGATCCGAAAATAGGTTAACATACTGACGCCCCTCTCGGTGTGACCAGGCGTAGATCTTGCGTGAGCTTCCCCTTCTGACATGTTCTTCGTGAGGGTTTGAAGGCATAACTGTGATGATGAACCCCCAAACCCATCTATGTTCACTGCCACTCGATGGCAGATAGCGTCACCTTCGCCAGGACTAGCTATGATCCACGCCCCTGTTTCCTCGTGCCACCTAGCACTTGAAATCCACTCTCCGTAAAGACCCGGCGGCAACAACCCATGGTTCATTGGCCGCCTCACTCTATCTTCCGCCTTGTCCGACGCAGCGGTCTTTTCACCGCCAGCGCCTGAATTATCGAAGACGTCTCGAAACATTCCCTTGCTCCATGGACGACGACGAACAGCTGAGTGACGTCGCGAGATCCCAACCGCCAGGGCCTCGTCTGCCGCCATCACATAAAAAAGGCGCCTTAGATTTCCCTTGACAGGCACTTCGCCCTCCTGGCGCTCCGTCAACAGCGAAGCTGTCCCCCCTGTCAATCCAGTTTGATTGTCGCCGCCGTCACGGCATACCCATCCCACGCCATCCACGGGACCATGCGGTGAGCTTGCTTGCTCGCCCTGACGAAGTGAAGCCGCTACTAACTCAACGCGATTTGCAGCATCCAGCGATAGCTCGGAACCAGAGGACGTCGGAAGATCAAATACAAATCGCGGAGAGGCTTCTTGTTCCGGAGCCTTCAACAAACACGCGGTGCGCGTCAACCTCTCCCATATCTCACCACCCTCTTCGACGGCATCTTCCATCTCTCTTTCCTTTCCGCCACCCAAGCGTGGCGAGACCGACGATCCCACCGGGATTAGATCCGCGGCATTCGGGAAACCCGCGGAATGGGAGTTTTTCAACACCAGGTTTGCAGAGAATCTCTGGCGGCGCGCACAATCGACTGCTTCGAGGCCAACGTCGGCTACGAAAGGGTGCTGAAGGAGCTTGGAAGCTGACCACCTGCGGGACGGCTCCCAGATCAAGCACTTGGAGAGAAAGTCTTTGGCCTCGGATGACAGATGCGGGGAAAAAGCAGGAACCTCGTCGGTGCACGCGATGCGGAACAGCGCTGACATGGCGTCCTCCACGTCCGTCCAGGGCGCTCTGCCGGTGGCCATCTCGATCACCGTGCAGCCCAACGACCAAATGTCGGAMGCCGCTTCCAGCGTGCCGCTCTGGCCGGCTACCTCGGGAGCCATCCACTGAACAGTGCCTGCGAGGGATACGGAACGTCTAGGACAAGCGCTGACCTCCTCCGGCGATTCAGTACCGATCTGGATGGATGAACGTTGTGATTGGCCATCAGTGGAAGCGCCACGGTTTCCCCAGACGCAAGCTGAAGCACCGAAGTCCGAGAGCTTGGCAGTTACCCCACCCTCCTCGTCAAGCACCACCAAGACGTTCTGACCTTTGACGTCCCGATGCACTACGCCCTGGGAGTGCGCGTGCTGCAGTCCACGCAGAATCCCTCCGCAGCATCGCCGGATCATAGATTCGTCCAACTTTCCCCCGAAACGCTTAGAGAACTCCGCCAGGCTGCCCCCGTTCGCCAGCTCCAGGAGCAGGTTGCGCTCCGTTGACCCGTCCTGGCCGACTGTCCAGTCGTCCCCAAGGTAGTCAAATTACGATGGGTGCAAGAAGCCACAACCGCGATGTTTCTGAACTTCAAGTTTACATGGCGGGAAAGTGAAACGGCATTCTCGACCAGCTGATAAGAACTGTTCTGCACGTTGCTGACGCTCGGGTGGGAACGACAGGCAGTGACGACATGATTGACGAGGGCGGAGGGTCGTGAACGGCGCTGTGATGAGAGAAGAGCATGATTGTTCTCCACGACAGATGCCACCCGCAGTGTGGCGTGGTTACACTCCACAGAACATATCTACAAATGGGAAAGTTCTGCGGCAGAAAGATAGCATAATGGCACCGTTGCGCAAGCAGGAAAAGAGAACAACAGCATTCAAAGGAGGGAATTCGTGATCAACTCAACGAAGAAGGACGTGAGCTACCGTAATCGTACTTCTACAACGCAAGCTTAAAAGGAACAGCGATCATACGAACGTGCGGAAATGGACTTGCGCACACCGGACTGACTGTCGTTATCAGCCGTGGGTGACCGACTTTTCTAATGCTGAAGCTTTGGGGCTTCTTCTTCCTTCCAATATGCAAT